CACTCTAAGATTGGAAGAATTTTCTACATAATTTGCTAGTGCAACAATTGGGAATTTCAATGGGGAAACTTTCATAAAGCAGCTTTTTCATGCAATACATAGAAAAACGTAAAAATAAAAGGGAATTTTGAGGAATAATTTCCTCACCTCGAGATAATAACGTCACGGCACAGTAAAAGGGGTCTCATATACGGAGACAGATTTGGAAGGTTGCTCGGAGTCAATGATCTTAATCCTTTAGGGGAAGATCATGCTAAAAAATAAGACGGGAAGGGAGACGAAGAAAATTCATTCTTCCAGATTTTAAATATTCCTATTCAGATAGGTTTTTTATTCAAATTTTAAAAAAAAACCCAAACAAAGGTAACGAAACACTTGTGCAACACTTTGTGTCTCCCAGAGAACGTTTCCCGAAGTGACTTTTTCATCTTTTGCAGGAAAACTTTGGAAAGATTAAAAGAGAGTTTGAGGCAATCACCCTCAGCTTAGATGAATGTCCCCTCCCCTAGAAAAAAGTTGAGTAAATGCTGAGGGTTTTCGACAAAAATCATGGAGAAAATGACAAAGCAGTGAAGGGGGCGCGTCACAGGTAACAGGGCCTTTTAGAATCTGCCATACGTTGGCTATCTCTGTACCATTTTAAAGACTCTTTGTTAGTATTTTATTAATGGTTGTGAAAAGGGGAAAGTAGATGGATGAAACATGGTTGCCCAACCAGAGTTTTATCTTCTTCCCGGGAAAAAGTTTTGAAAACGGGAAAAGAATCTGAGGTAACCAGTCACTTAGCCTTGAGTGAATAATCAGCCCCACAGTCTTGATAAAAAACATAATCCAAGGAAGGAGCTAATGTACTGAACCAGCTAGGCAAGCAGTTGGAAATGTCTTAGGGGTTGATATCAGCTAGTGAAAGTAAGTTTTTTTAAATTTGGAAAATATGCTTTGGGGAGCTTTTAAAAGAATTCTCCTATCCCTTTTCCCAAAATCCCATATTAGGCAGGGAAATTTTTGTAAAAAAAAACTTGGGTTTTTTCCAAATCGCTTGGTTTTATTAAAACAAAATAAAAGCACTGGTTAGCGAATTCGTTTCCACAGTTATAAGATACCATGAGGGGGAATGACTGGTAATATCCCGAACTACTTAGTCTTGAAAAAAAAATGCTGCATTTACGCGGGAACGGAAAGTCTCCACCCCTATATAAACCTATACAACGGGGCGGGGATAGAACCGCGTTCAGAGAGTCTCAAAAACTCTCGATCGCGGGTTTCTATCCCGGCCCCGTTGGTTATGAGTAGGTTTGTTTGCAATTCGTTGTCATTACGATTTCGTGAGTCAAGTTCTTATATATATTAGATACAGCATCTGGAGGCTGCATGCATCCACAGGTGGGCAGAGTTCACTAGTTGCAGTCGGTCATGTCAGATGACTGGGCAAATGTTCCAGTTATAGTAGGTTCTGATATCTGTTGATCTCAGTTCAAAAACATTGTCTCAAAATCTTATAAGTTACCTGGCTGTGCGCCTGCTGTTATAAGTTACCAGCGTGTGTGGCTGTTAGGCTACATTGGCTTCCCACTATTATTTTCCAGGCAACTATCTATATTTTACATCTGTTCGATGTCAGACATGTATATGAAATTGTTTATAAAAATCCTTTTTTTTTAAAGTAGAAGAGAAAGAGGGACAATTGTGCAGCACTTTTGTTTGGTCTTTTATTGTGGAAATGTTTTTTTTGTTTTTTTTTTTTTTGACAACCAAATTGGACTTTATCAATAGAAAGAGAAAACAGCGAAAAAAGAGAAAAAATTTTGGTGGAAGATGAGTTTCAGATAATTTAGCATGTGAGCATATGCAGGGGAGAAAGAGAAATAGTAGATAGGCTATATACTGGGGACAGGTAATGTGAAGTAGCCTGGAGGTTTAGGTTACGTCACAGGTGGGCAGGTGGCAGTTTTGTGTTGCCATTATGGAAAGTGAAACAATTCATAAGCATTGTAGCTGTACAATTCTATGCACCAAGTTTGAGTAAAGACGTTGTTTTTGTCCGGCACAGTAACTTGTGGTATTATCAATACGGACCCGTCAGTAAATGCCAGATTTTTTTCCTCCTATTTTTGCTTTTCGTTCACTATATCTAAAAAGAACTAGATAATGAATCTATCTACAACTTTTGTTAACCAGATGTATTTCGGTCCTCACACTGCATTAACTCCAGAAATCTGTGATAATAATGATAGTGACTTGACCATTACAAATATCATTAACCATACCTAAAGTACTTATATCAAAAACGAAAAAGAAGAGGAAAACAAAAAAAACTTTTATCACAATGATCATATGAACAGAGCGCTTTTTTTTTTTTCTCATCGTATATTATGTTTTTTATCTCGTCCTTGAATCATCACCACTTAATTTCACTTTTCTCCACTCTTTACTGTCTTTATTGGAGAGGGTAGGGATATAACATGTGTTTGTTAGTTCGTGCTCTGAGTAAACAAAAGACTCCCCACGAGGCCTTCCTTCTTACAACTGGGAAAATGCCTTAAAAAACTCTTAAAAAAAAATTCATGGACCAGGGTGTAAACTGCTGACATTGATAAAGGTCGCTGCTTATTTATATG